TAGGAGGCAATATTCAACCATTTTAGTTTTGCAGCAAGACTGCTGAGGATATGTTATAGTCTTTATTGCATGTCAATAATGCGTTCCACCTATAGTGTGTTTGAGCAAGTGTGCGGACAATAATTACAGTGCATGGCGAGACGTTCTGTGACAAACGCTTCTTGAATATAGCGTTACACACTGCGCTGAAACCCACTAAAACTCTGGTTATTTTTTAAAGGGTAGGTGTTCCTTGCTGGAGCAAGCATTCCTCCAAATCTGCACATTTCTCTACTTGCTCTGTCCATAAAATTGATATTCGTGGCATTGGTGACCCTTCCGAGTACTGTTGCAGGCGACTACGTCCACGACGTATCTCACCCAGCACCAGTAGCCTGCGCTTGAATAATTTTACAGGAGACCTGTTCATACAACCTTCATTCTCTCTCTTGTCTATAACACACATCTCTTCTCTAGTTATTGTGAAACCATCCACATCGATGAACTCCACCATATGCACCGACAGGTTGGTACAGTCATAGTGACTGGATAGAGGTGTTAGCTTAAAAGCGATAGCAGACGTGGTTAGCGCCAACCACACTTTGTTCCCTTTACTATATATCAAGGAGACCAGAGTGGATCTGGCGTTGGCCGCTTCCTCCCATTCAGGCCAGAAACATCACTTACTTAGTTTTAGGTACAGCAGACTTTGCGCGGGCACTACCACACTACCTATACTCACTCACATTCAGTAGGTGCCAATGGAGGTTCAAGGAGGCAGAGACGGATACGACTACTCTTATTTTTACTACTACTAGCTAGCAATGTAGCTGCGTGTTTGTAGTTCTGCCATCTGTAGACTACCTATAGGCTTACTACAGTATCTAGCTCTAGCTTGGACGTTACAGAATGTCAACTCAAATCCCCTTAGTTTCAGCAGGGAGTGTGAATCTGCGTTTATGGTATTCCGATTAACTACATGTTTAAGGATCCGATCTGTCATGGATTTCCTTGGTTCCGCACTCTCAAATCCATCTACCAGGCTGTGTCATCATTTTCGAGCATGCTCTCTTCCAAATGTGTCTGCTGTGTTTGGCAGCTTGCGATAGAAACAGTCTAAGTTTAAATGCCACGCTAATATTTCCGTTATTATTCATTCTACCTTTACTAAACGGCAATGTATCCGAGAGTTGGTAGTACTGGTACTATTACTGACGCTCGCCTTTGTCAGAGATGACGCTGTCTAAAACCAACGTCGAGGCGCATATCTCCTCAATCCCAACCTGGAATGCAAATATGGGTTTTTATTATTCAAATTAGCTTCATGTTTTAAGCCCGTGGCACATCAGGACTTTCCTCGTTTTCTGCTCTGTGTCAACCTGCTGCCTAACGAAACGCTATTAAGTAAAAACTAAAGTTTTACTATGCCTTTATTTTGCATGCTAGCATTTGCTGCTATCAGGCTAACATTGTGCAGTATCTTAGCCTATCTTGGTGTTAAGGGGAGGTCTCTCGTTTACTAGGGGAGCAATCTGCTCCACAATAAACTAATATTGCTATATCCTATAGCTGTGTCAGCAGCTGAGTAATAAGCAATAAGCATAACAGATGGGAATGTGAGCTTGCTAACTTTCTCATCTTCGCATGGTGATTCCGTAGGATACCTGCAAGGTTCTGCGGGCAGAGGTCTTCTAGTAGAGGGTTGCAGATCCGTAGATACACGCAGATTACACCGGAATACACGACGGATTCGAGGTTCTCACGAGCACCTTTAGGCAGTGCCAAGACACCCCACCGCCCGCTGCCAACGGTAGCGACGTTTAGCGACGGACATTTTCTGAAGTTTCAGGTACTTTGAATGCGCTCAACCAATATTCTATGGTGTTGAGCATTTTAATTCAACTCTCTCTCTTTCCAGAAGACTCTCCATGCGAATTTGGAGCAAAAATTACTTCAACTGCTCGATCATCTGTGAGCCGACAATGTGGGTGATATGAAAAATGCATCATTAATCACGGTCGCTTCCTATCTCGCATGGTCATCTTGGATACAACTTATCGTCGCCTGCCACTTCCCTCTCTCAAATTATTTTACTCCTTTATATTTAGCCCTGGACATTCACCCAACTACAGTTTCTCGGTTGGGGTGCCCATGTTGTGCCGGATGTTCGAGAGTTCTACCAATTCCTTGAAACATACAGCCATCTACGGGCTGAAAAACCTCTGTCGAGCGATTTTGGTCCTACCATCGTTCACTGCAGGTAGGAATAAATGGACCGTGCATTTTTCGCCTCTGTCCATCATAATGGCTTTTTGAGTAATAACAGCAGCCTGTACTTGAACATGTAGAGTACTTTGATTGGGAACTTACAGATTTTTTCACTGATAACGCCACTAGTTTATGCACAAACGTCTACCTTTCATTTTGAAAAGTCCACATTTTGGCGTCCGAGGCAACTGACAGCAAGCCCTTGCCTTCCACGTTAGAATTAAGCTACGATGCTGGCAGTTAGATGCAACCAACAAAGCATTTCGTAACGCCGCACTTTTTTACATACCCCTTACCTCAATTCAGCGTCTGGATTGAGCACTTTATGTTACACCGTGCGTTGCTTTTCCCTCCGTACTCACACGAAACCTGTCATATCACGAGTGTACACATTGGTGTTTCTAATTTTTCCACTCGTCCGGTACCTTTGAACCCTGTAACACAGATAGGTTTTTCTTCAGCTTTTTACTTTCCTTTAGAAATTAGTTTCTGTTCGCGATGCACGCCAGCATATTTAAGGTCTATAGGCATAGACCGAAATTGCACGTCTATATTTGGGCTGAAACCCGTCACTGCGAAATATGCACACGCTGCCAAATGGCAGACTGTAGGAGTATATAATGATTTTGTAAATTACTATGCTAACAACCCGGTTAGTACCTACAAGACCCAGACAAGTGTTTCATCGGTCTTCTACCGCTGCTTGACACAGCTGCGAGCCTTCCGGCTCACCATTGTGTACCTACGCTTTTCCTGCTTGCTTTTTCTGGTTGATATATCAGCTTTGAAAGTTAAACTTTTAAAATTCCTTAGAAATTTACTTCCGTTTGTGGTACACATCAGCACATTTAAGGTCTTTAGACTTAGACCGACCACTGCGAAGTATACACATGCTGCCAACGGGCAGACTGTAGTAGTATATAGTGATCTTTTAACTTAACAATATAAATTACTATGGTAACAAAAATATTTTCTGAGGAAATTAAAAGGCTAGAATTTTCAAATCCGGTTTAGCAACCAGAAGGCAAACAGGGAAAGCTGGGAAACCCATTGATTGACCGGATCCATCACAGTTGTGTCAAGCAGCGGCAAAATAACGACGAAGCACGAGCGTGGGTGCTTTAGCTAGTACTTAAGCTGCTAATATAGTAGTTTATTATATCAATGAAGGTTTCTCTAATAAGTGACCTGCTCTTACCCATGGTACTCTTTCCTAGCGCTGGTGTTGGGCGCACTGGAACCCTGATCTGTGCTGACATGTTGCTAAACCAACTGCGCACGAAACCATCGCGACTTGACGTCTTCGGTACTGTCCTTGCATCTCGCATCTTCCGTCGCAATCTCGTCCAGGTCAAGGTAAGCCCCAGAAGAAAATATCCTCGCGTTCATGAAAGCCACAAGCTTTACCCGACACCCAGCACGTTCAGGTCGCACTTTATTATCTGAAGGGGACGTTTGAGACGTGTACGTTTGATTAATACTGCCAGTAAATAAAGCAAGAGCTCAATGTTGGACTGCCGTAGTCTTTGGGAACTTTGAGCAATTAGGTGGCATAATTCCGGCGAGCGGATTGTCCATCAGCTCGAAAGGGCTCAGTCGAAGCGCACTCGATAAAAGCAAACTGGTCAGGAATGCTGTAGATTAATAGTGTCTTCTTACTGCTTAAACAGCGACAGGATTTGTAACACACTTGAATCGAGTTCTACAACAAACCCGAGCGAGCCTTATACGAATGTGTCCGCAATAGGAGAATACTATTGCTTTTGTGGCAGCGCAAACTATGCCAGACCGCATTCTATTTCGAGGATTTTTATGTTTGTTAGCCAGTCTTCGCAATCCTTTACCGGAATTTGCTTAATATCATGGGGGACCGCGTGATGCTACCTCAGTTGCGTAGTACTTTTTTAATACTATCAGGGGTTCTACTTTTAAATTTACTATCTGAATTCTCAAATACGGCCTAAATAGTATTTTTTTTCATAGTAGTATAATTTATAGGCAAACAGATTATCCATGGAGGGCTTACAGACTGTTGTATAGGTCATGCTTTCCCCAGCAGTGCACTGGACTAACACAGGGACCAGATCGGAGTGCTGCAGACGTTTTTTAGAGCTGAGTAACCGTAACAAGGTCCGAACGTTTGAGAGCTTATCGTGCCAGGCTTACGCGCAGGCCTTTGTATGCGCGCGCGTGCGAAGCGTTTTTTTCACGACGAGGGCCCGAGGCTCCACTCTCCGCCGATGTGACTTTAACGAACAAGCGCGCACATCTTCGTGCAATATCACACGGCTTCTCAGCAGCAGAAATTCGATTTTCTCAAGGCTATTCTTTGCTTATGCGGTGGTGCGCTTTCGAAGCAGCACCCAAACTCTCACTCAGATGTGTACCGTCTATGTGGTTGTTGTGCATAGATCAATAGAATTCCAGGTTGTAGGTGAAAGACAGAAGAAATCAGAATGAAGGCATTGTTGCACACAAACCCTGAGTTGATCTCTCCGAGAGCAGTGGGCACTGGCAAAGCCAGGTCAGGTGTTGGCTACGTCAAATGGTGCCTGAGTGAGTTTGGCCGTACGTGTGAGTGGCAGCGGTGTCAGCGGCTTTTAAATGATTTTGAAGCGAGCTCGAATGGCATGTAATTAATATGCTGCATTGTCCCGCATAGAGGCCCCTGCTGCATATTTCAAGGCGGGGGGACGTCTTCAAGTGACCCTTGGGCAGCTGCGACTGGTTTGGGCATCTATGTGTTCGCGCCTGTATGTGTGCGATGATGTCAGTCAGGGATAGTCAGGTCATCAAGTCAAAGCCAACCACATGTGAAGAAAAATGACGTTGAGACAGTGAGCATTGAAGAAGGAAGGCTGACAGCATTGTTGACCGTCAACCGCAAATGTGTTTCCCTTAACTTAGTTTTGAACATTTACGTCTGCCTAAAACGTAGTATTTATTTGCTCCAAAAATATTCCCCTTAGATTTTGGTGCGAAGATCTGTTTGCTTCGGAGGCCATACACGTGGCTCTAAAGTTTTTTTTAACGCAGAATCCATCCACCATGGAAAAAATATTTCAATATATGTAGAACACATGATGCCAGTCACTTTTTAAGATAACTAAGACCAGGCAAATAAATAGCTTCAAGTTGTGCAGGTTTTCTGCCAAGGTGTCACCTTCGCGTCCTTCAGTTATCATCTTTTAGGAAGCCTTGAATTTTCTGCCGGTTTGCCGAGGCAGTTGATTCACTACAATGGAGTAACACCGTTTGGAGTTAGTTGCTGTCCTTACGATCAGGCACTCACCTCTCATCCACTTTCCACAATTTTCTCCTTCTATAATTGGAGACACCACGTCAGTCGGCGAACTAGCAAGTACGATTCCCGTTTCTTCCGTAGTTCTCACAACGCGCTGCGTTAGCAGTGCACTCCATCTAACCAGAAGGGAAGCTGACTTACCGGACGCGTCAGTCAGGCCGCTCGGACCCACGAGCATTGCCACTACGTCCAATCCCTTTAACGGCTCGATAGCTTGTAAAGTGAATCAATTGGCGACTGCGTTTGGGAAGAGAGAGACAGAGTGATCTGTACTCTGAAAAACCCACATCCCCAAAGAAATACTGCACGCATTGCCATAATAAAGCAGATTTATTTAAATGCATGCTGGTGCGTTAGTGGTTTTGCCTGGAAAGGCTTCTCAATGACAGACCAAAGCGGCCTGTGTCAGGCTTCTATTGCATTCTTCTTCCTGTAAGGTGCTATTTGCCCTTCAGTAGGGCAGAGTTCGTGCCTGAAGGAGGCTCTAATTTTTTTCTGACGTTATCGGGATGAGTTCGGAAGGGTGGCGGGTTTGTTTTTGTTGTTACCTAAATTCGCCTACCTATGGAGAGTACATGCTCACTCCTTAAGTGGCGTGATGGATGCTCGGACTTGATATCTCTCTGCATGGTTTTTTACCCACTTATCCGATTTCTACTTACATGCGTTTTGTTGGATTTCCTTTTCAGGAGCAACTGCGCTTCCTCTATGAATTCGTCGCCTACTGCATAACTACGGAGGGGGGGGGCTGGAACCTACAGTGTGGTTGAAGAACCCTTTGCAACATATGGCGTACCAAAAGGGAACCCGTCCAACGGTCCATCGTTAGCCCACACCAACACTCTTTGGGGCTTGCAAACCAGGACAGCTCCAGCGCAAGCGCCCCCTCCTCGGAGAAGGGTATACGACCTGCCAAAAAGCAATCAGTTCAACGGTCCTTCTTTAGTTAAACCCACAACGTTTGCGGCCGTGCAACCAGGGACATTCCCATCTCAGGCGCCTGCTACTCTAACTGTTAATCCCTCGTCAGGCGGTTTGGCGCAGGATGCCATAAACGACCAGCCAAAAAGCAATCAGTTCACCGGTCCTTCTTTAGCTCAACCCACGACGTTTGCGGCCGTGCAACCATGGGCATTACCATCTCAGGCGCCTGCTACTCTAACTGTTCCTCCCTTGTCAGGCGCGTTTGCGCAGAATGAAGTTCACGACGTTCCAAATGGGAACCCGACCAACGGTGCTTCTTTAGCTCAACCCTCAGCATTTGCGGGTTTGCCAACAAGGACAGTGCCACCTCAGACCCCCGGCCATCCATCTGTTCCTCCGATGCCAAGAGATGTGCCGCATCAGGAAGAGTACGATGTACCAAAAGGGCATGATCTATATGACGTCCCGGCGCAACCGAGTGGGGCACCTCGTTTACCACCAAAAACAATGGTCACTAGACCGGTCTCACAACAAGTGAGCATTGACGCACAGAATGGACGCTTTGTGCTGCCTGGCCAATCACGTCCCGGTAAGTTTCACGCCTCAGCATTTTATCTTTAATGACAAAAAACTCATGTAAAATCGCGGCTGATGCCGTTTTCATCAGATCTTGCATCGCACATAAACAGGAAAACATGTTAGACTCCAGTTTTTGTGTTTGCTACTCCGTGCGCTCCTTCAATAAATTTAGCTGGTCATATCCGTCGGCGTTTTGTTATTAAGCGTAGGATAACACTTTGCTTCTCTCTGGACGCATGAAAATGGGTACATTGCGATCATTCGAAGTCGTTCTAGGCATTCGTCAACTCAAAAGTTTTTTCATGTTTTCTGTTTCACACGTCGTCTGGTAATTGTGGAAATATCAGCGTTTATTTTTCTGGATTCACGGGGCCAGCTGAAATTCATTACACTTGTCACCGTTGCAGTGTCTTCCAATATCTGTCACTTGATGTTAGTGTTTCTAAGTCGAATGTGGATATTTTCTTCTGTACATTTCAACAAACTTTAAGATGCCATGAAATATCAGTTCTTGAAACCGTTGAACAGTAGTGGAACCAACATTTGACTTTACCAGATTTGGGCTGGATGCAATTTATCCTACTCTGCATCTTTAACCGTTACCTTTGCTTTACGATTTTTTGTTTTAACTAAAATAACTCATTTTGTATTCTGTAAACAAACTTCATTATTTGTCCATACTTGTAGGTCCAGAAGAACTCTGAGAAAAAGACGTCTACATCGGCTGGCTTAAATCACCCTCATACTCAACCTCCTTTCTTCTATTTCTTTTTCAACAAGCTGGAAGACCATTTCTTAAAGCATTATTTTATTTCTTCTACTTCTACTACTTTCGGCATAGACTGTCTTCACGCGAATATATCCAACTTGAAAAACTGCACAGATGCCCATTGGAACAAAAAAAATAATGACAAAATATGTCCATGCCTGCGGGCCGAGCAGAATTCTGAGAGGACGACGTCGATATCGGCCTGCTTTAAGCGCCCTCGTACTTAACCTCCATTCTTCAACTGTCTTCTCCAACAGGACGACTTTTGTTAAAATAATGTTGCCTTTTTCTTCTATTTTAACTACAAATGACGTAATTTGTGTTCAACAGAATATATTCAGCCTGTACAACTGCACAGATATAAACTAGAACAAAAACCACCACCACTGACTTCGACACGCCAGGGTACATTCCCGTCAGACGAATGGTGCCAAACTGTCTTGTCTTTCACCTACCTTGTTTTGCATCTTTTTTGCTAGGGTTGACTTTTTGCCTGTCTTTTTGCTCATTCGCATCTGTGCGTTTTATGAGAAAGTTTCTACGACCCTTTTCTCGACTTGATGAGCAACCACATTTTCACTTCGTAATGGCATAATATGAGATCGCTTACCGATTGCCCACCACTTACAACAGATGCTTTAGCACAAAATTACTCAATTTAGTATCTGATGTACGATATTGCGAGTGCTACAATAAGTTTGCCTAAGTTTGTAAATTTTTGATAATTCCTCGCAAACCGGTGTGAAGCCATTTCCGAATACTTCGAAATAAGAATGAAGAGCATTTGGCAAATTTGAGACTTAAAGGAAATAGAAAAGTCTTACGCGTATGTTAAGAAAGACTAAATTTTCTCTAAAATTTCCCCAGTTCCGCAGACGAAAAAAATAGCTATAAATTAGAATAATAAATTTAAATCTTCTTGTTTGTTGAAAGCGGAATGTATCAAATGTCTTTATATAAAAGTAATTTTTCTTTAGTCAACATATTTTGTACACATTACCATTAGTGGATCATTATCTATTAAATGTCTTCCAATGAGTTTGGCGTGATTTTCATCGCTTCCAGTATCTTCATGAGGTCATTCATAAGGTCAAATTCTTGACGATGACATGGACACTTTCAAAATAAGATATATATAAAGAGCATTTACTGAAAGAACCCGCTTTTGGATATTAGTTGTTATGAAGATGGGCACGTGACTCATATCTAGAAAGGCTTCAAAACGGCAAACCAAATTATCGAGAATAAATAAGGTCCGCAACGAAATGTTGATATTGTTATTCCCAAGATTAATAGAAATACGTTCCATAATAGGTAACCTCTTTAAAGATGTTTCAACTGGATATTATGCTGATGAATTCCTGTGTAAAGCCTGCGTTTCCAAGGTGAAATTTCCGCACAATGAAATTTGATACTCTTGGCAATTGATTTAAGGTACCTGAAGATGAGCAATTAAGTTGGACTGAAAATGAAAGAACTTACTCTTCTTTTTGTAATGGATTATATTCTGCATATATAGATTACAACCACGATCTGTCGTAAGATTGCGAATGCAAAAAAACTGGGCAAATAGGACTATTTTTGAAATATCGATTATTCTTCTGTCTGTTCCGTTTTTAAATAGCGCATAATCAGAAAGTATAGTTCACAGAAATTTCATTTATACCTGACATACATTCAATTAAGCCTTCTTTGCGGTACTTTACCAGTAATATATACGGATACTTTGTTTATGCGCACGTAGAGAGGTGCGGTAAAACAAAATTCCGAAAAAAATCTTTTGATACTGCATTTTGTGCCAAAAACTTCAGAGGTGATCTGAATATAATTTTTAAAGCTAAAATTGCTGCTTATTTCCGAAAATAAATTTGAATACTTAAACTTGGCTTAACTTCCATTTGAGCGATTTCGGACAAAATTTCCTGTTCTGACAGTGATAATCCTTCCATTTTTTCTACTTATCATACAAAACTTCAATAGCACAATGCATGTTACTAAAAGTCTGGGATTTAGTACTTTATAGTATAGGAAATAATTTCGTCATAAGCGAACTAGGCTGTCGTCAAATCAGTGTTTATATCGCTCCGTAAATTCTAATTATTAAATCCACTCACTTGATCAAAATAACCTGACAAAATA